TTTTTTTTTTTTTTTTTTTTTTTTTGTTAATAAATTTTGTCTGGGCTGATTATTTGTGTTTTTGGCTTAATTTGGTCACTAGAAACGAGCCTTAAATCGATTATTGTCGAATGTTATTCTTCTTCTTCGATTCACAACCATTCCTCGAGGCTTTACTTTTCCACCACCATTTTTTGCATGGGAAGGAGACTAACTTGAGTGGTAGGGAGTTTGAATAGGAATATGCGTGTCCGAATTCACTAAAAAAAATTTAAAAATTTTGTGTTTTTGGTCTATCCGATCAAGTGGTAGATATAATGTCACGCTCTTAATCCATATGATATGTAATGTCATTTTATGAAGTTATATTCAATTGAGACTTTTAGAGAATCTTTGACTTATCCTTTAGTAGTGAACTGGTCCAAATTATCAAGTGTCTACATGAGTATCGTAGTAGTTGGCAGGCACAAGAATTGGTCGCCCGTGATTATGAGTATTGTACTATATGAGAACCAACCAATCTCTAGTAATGAACTATTTAGACCGACATGGTTCATATAAGTGTGTAGCAGGAACGATTATGGGGTCACACCTCATGATCTTACACGATGTCCAGGAATCATAAAAAAACATATCTAGATTACTTAAACTTGTGATGAGCTCAAATAAGTTAAAAATTTTGAAGTAAGATTCTCGTGATAAGCTTGAACTTTTTTCGACCAATTAAATCGGTATTTGTTTCTTGTCATTTAATATCATAAATCATTTTCAAATCTACCCATATATTTAAAGGGAAAGCTAGTTTAGCTTAATTTATGGTTCATGTGATTCCATCTCAATCACGTTTGTTTTACTTAAAAATTTACACACAGATCACATCACTAATCACTAATTAAGAAAATTAGTAAAACCTTAATCCAAAACCAATTTGGGTTCCCTTTCCACCTACCATATCCATGAGAAGAATTTCCGATTCCATGAACCCTTTCGCAAAAAAATATCCATAGCAGAACGACGATCACTATGGATACTGATAATACGGTGGTGGCGGTGGCGGTGGCGGCGGCGGAGGTGGTGGCGGTGGCGGAGGTGGAGGCGGGGGCGGAGGCGGAGGAGGAGGAGG